GTTAGGAGTTCAAGAACAGCCTGAGCAAGATCATGACCCCGTCTCTACTAAAAATAGAAAAATTAGCCGGGCATGGTGGCGCGTACCTGTAGTCCCAGCTACTCGGGAGGCTGAGGCAGGAGGCTCGCCTGAGCCCAGGAGTTTGAGGTTGCTGTGAGCTACGCTGATGCCACGGCACTCTAGCCCGGGCAACAGAGCCAGACTCTGTCTCAAAAAAAAAAAAAGGCAATGTTGCAAATGGCCCAAAACATATAAACGTGTAACAAAAGATTTCCAAATTCTTTATGAAAATGGATAGAGTTTTATATATTATTTGACTCAGCAATTCTGGTTTTAGCTAAAGGAAAGTATCATAGCTATGGTCACACACAGACACACACACAGGCAAATTCTCCCAAAGTTCTAGTACGAAAAGCACCTCTTACAGAGGCAAACAAATGACATTTTGATTTGGAAATTTTTTAAAAATCAAACTGTTGAAGTATGTACCACACTGATTTCTCCCCTGCTCAAAGTTTTAACCACTAAAATAGGGAAATTCTGGCGTTGATGCTGCAACCTCAATGTTGAATCATCTCTGTCCTTTATCCCAGAATATAATTCAGCTGTGTAGCTACAGAAATCAAATTCCCTTTAGGCAGGCCAAAAGCTTAATAAAAGTAGTCAGAGGATATTTTACCTCTTCCATTTACTTTTAACAAAAGGAATCTAATTAATTCATACCTCTTTGATTGATTTTATCAAGTCCTTAAACCCAAAAGATTCAGAATTTTAATTTTTGACAACTACAGCTGGATGCAGGGAAAATTATTCAAAGAAAAGAATTATTTGATTCTCAAAATTTTTATAGAGCCGGGACAAAATGCAGTAGCTTGAGATGAGGACAGAATATTGAGACTCCAGGGTTGAGGCTGTTAACCAAACATAGACCGCCCCTTAAGAATGGAAGATAAGATTCAGGGAGAAGAAATATTTACATTCACAAGGAATGTTTGAAAAGAATAAATCAAAGCAAGATGATGAAGTGAGGAGGACAAAAAACCCTCATCTCCCAGCCAAAAACAAAAACAAACCAAAAAAGCGTCTGGCAGAGCGATAGCTGAATAGCTTTTGTTCTCTTATAAAACTGGGAGGGAGGAAGAACATCATGGCATCGAGGACACAGAGTGGCAGAGCAGGGGCAACGTCCCCATGCAGAGAAGGGCACAAAAAAAGCAACAAGGCTCTCTGGCAGGTGAGAAGACAAAGACTGCGGGGAGAGAAAGAGGGAAATAGACGGGAGGGAGTGAACCCCAAACAGACCGATGGGACAGAGGCTGAATAACGGGAGAGATCGGACGGGGAGCAGCAAAGACGTCTGCGGAAAGAGCCCGGCCAGGCAGCGGGCAGACGCCTGATGGAGCTTCCTCCTCCCGCATTCGCGGACCCAAACTGGGCAGCTCTAGAAGGACAGAGCAAGCAGCCTCCAGAACCTCATTCTCGTCTTCCCTATTCACTCCTCAGCACCTCAAACAGTGCCTGGTATACAGCGGGTACTCAAAGCACAGTTGCTGAATGAGTAAGTGATACACGAAGAAGAGAGAAACAAGCTGAATTACCTGAGAAAATAACAAGTGCCTCACGGCATCCATTATTAAGCTGTGAGTTGGCAAAAAGGACACCAAAGGGCCGGGCTCTCCCAACAGCATGGCGGAGCGATGCTCCCCTTGGGACCAAGTTTGGTTTCACTGTTGCAAGACCAGTCAAGCACCCAAGTGAAACGGGCCGTCATCAGACCAAGGGGAATTGAGGGGCAAGGGAGCAGTAGGAGGGGTTGTGCTTAAAAGCCCCCCTGTCTCCTCAAGTCTCTCCCCAAATCCCAAACACATCCTTAGATGTTTGGGGGTCTCACCGTACCACTGCTTCTCTCCCCCTCACCTCCTGATGCGCCTTTTAGCCAAACGCGAGGGCGTCCGGTCAACCACCTGTTTGCAACAGTCTTGGTAAAATTATCTTCGAAGGGAAAGGTCTGGAAGCATAGCTTGAACTAAATGTGATGTTTTCCTGTCATTCTTGGTGTTACTCCCTCCTCTCTTGCGTCAGACCGTACAAGGGCAGCAGACGGAGCCGAGTGCTCAGTGTTTCCCTGGCGAGCTGTCGTTAGGACGTCTCAGCACAAGGCTGCCGATCGGCTGTGACGTCCTCGGTGTCAGGGTACCACCGCGTGGACTGAAGGAGGAGCCTCCAAACCCTCAGTCTCCGTCGCTGGCACCTGTTTGAGGAAACTCTGCAAGTGACCCTTAGCTGATCTGTTTGCACAAACATCGCGCCCTGGGAGTGCAGTGGCGTCGGCTGCAAACCCCGATCACCTCCCAGCGACCGGCACAGAAAGCCACGCAGCCCCTGGAAGGACGCAGCGCCAGGGCCCAGACGCCGCTGGGCACCCTTCTCTGTGGCTCAGGAAGTTCCACTCGGCCCAGGGTGGCAAGGACTGAGGCCTGATGGGACGGTGCCGCTAACACCAGGATCCACCCTTCCAGCCCACGCCCCGCCGTCAGATGGCTTCCCTTCCGGTGAGGACCGTGTCTGCTGCTGGCGAAGCTCCCTGCGCGAACGTGAGAATATCTGAACCGCTGCACTGCTTCTGCGCACCATGGGAGCCCGCTTCATCTCGTCCGTGATGCTAGGCCTTATCTGGGATTAGGGATCTCTACGTGCTCCAGGCTGGAGAATTAGCAACGGACGCGCGTGCCCACCCACACATTCTAGAACTGTCGCAGCCCCTTTCAAACAGCAAGGTATGATAATCAAAAGAACACTGAGCAAATCATCTGAGACACAGGCGCTCCCAGCCCCAGCTTTCTATCTACGTTTTGTTTATTACTTTCCTCTTAGGGTGTATTTTACATGTATAACATTTTCTGTGTATTAGGATGTTCTGACATCTTAAAAACTTCTCTGGCTTCCCGGAGCTGGGCAATTCTTAGAGCTAGCAGAGGGCCCGCCTGGGGGCGTGCCTTTGAGATGCTAACTCCTCCTCCTCCTCCTTCTCCTCCTCCTCTTCCTCCTCCGGCTGCTGCACTGGGAGCAATGTTCCTCTGCCTTCATCATGCCACAGCCAGACCAGGCGGTGAGGGACCGCACCTTATAGCTCAGAGCCTGCAAGTGCCGGGAGGACCAGGCCACTTGTAAGGCCAGGAGCTCAAGCACACACAGCACCCGATGATACGAGAGGACGGTTTCTGAAAGCCACAGTTCCCTGTAGTCACTGGAGCGGCGATGAAAGATGTTCTCCGATGACTATTCAGAGAACTTGCTGAAACAGTCTTTGTTCTTCTGCCTGCATTTGGAAATAGTCTTTGGACACATGTACTGCCAGTACACACATAATGCATCGGATTATAACATTTTTGATGGGGAAAGATGAAAAAAAGGTTTCCATTTTTATGGTCAGAGGGACCCAGACTATTATAGCCGGCTCGGTTCTCATGAATAAAACAGAAGATCCTCTGCCTTCTCTTCTGAGCGCTTCGAATGCATCTGAGGTCTGACTGAACCACAGCATCACTAATTGTGCAGCAACAGCATTTATATCCCAGAACTGGAAATGACACACGTATCCAGCCACGGCGTGATGGTCGAATAAACTCCAACATGCTCAGCTGATGGAGCTTTCTGCAGCCTCTGGCAAGGGTGCCTACGAGATCGTTTGAAGTTCAGGGCGAGACACAAAATTACATACGCGGTATGACGGCCGTCGTGCCAAACAGATGCCATGATGCATAAAAATAGGAGGTTCTACAGAATATTAACCGTGTTTGTAGATTAGGACTGCGGATTTTCTTTTTACTTCTCCGAACGTTTCAGCGCTTTCTCTAATGACCTCCACTATTTTACTCTCATAGTAAAAATCAAAACGAATAAATTGTTGAATCGTGAACGGAGAACAGCTTGTTCCTTTCTGCTTAGAAACTTCCGGCTGTTGACGCTGGTTGTACCCGCCTGCAGGAGCTGTACCGAGACGCACAGAGAAGGCCCCGCGGTGAAACCAAGAGAAGCCGCGGTGGAAACACGCAGAACCTGTAAACCCGCAACCACCTGGGTGATAACAATAACAACCACCGACGTCCTCTAAGCTCTTGCCGCGCGCCAGGCATTTTCCGTACGTTTTCTTATTGCATCTTCATAAAAGCTGCAGGAAACGGGTATGGCCGCTACTCCCACTTTACGGACGAAACTGAGACTCGGCGTGGTCAGTCCGTTGGCTAGTGAGTGGGGGGCCCCCCCGGCATTCGACCCGGGCAGTCAGTCTCCGTGGTCTGTCGCTTGCTCACTGTGCTCTACCGCTCCGTCCAGCGTGAAGCAGAGGCCCGGGGGCAACAAGCACATTTGCAAACGCTCTCACCATGGCCAGCTTCGCAGGCCCAGAGCGACGCGTGCGAGCGGGTTCGGCACAGTTACAGGCAGTCTCTGTTCCCGCGCTGGCTGCAGCTGGCTCGACCCTGCAAATGCCGCCTGAGCTGCCACGCTTGGCCGACACGTCGGGGCGCACAGCCGCTTTGAGGCTCTCTGTTACGTGGTGCCACCGTCCCTGCGTGGAAAACCCTGCTGGTGGGACATTTCCTTGGTGGGGGCGGGGTAGGGAGAAGGCTTCACGGCAAGAGGATTCCAGAACAGAGCAGACACCTGGAGAGAGTCCAGGCCTGTCAGGGTCAAGTGGAGTCACGTGTCGCTAACACGAAGCCAGCCCCCTTCTCCCTCCCCGGGGAAGCAGGAATGGGGGTGTGAGGAAGCAGGAAACAGATTCCAGGAAACCGGCTGTGCAGGGTTGGTCTGCAGGAGACCACACGGGGCTTAGAGAAAATCCATCACAAATAGAAGTTGAAATTCAAAACAAATGCGCCAATGGGAAAATCAATGAGCAAAGGGGAGTTAATAAACAGAGATAAATCCTACAGATAAGACCAGATCGTTAGGGTGCACCCCGCTGTGCTCTCCGTCTGTCCCCTCTGTTCACTTACTTCCTCTGGAACCGGACCACAGGGTCAGCAAGCAGGTCGGTGACGTCGAGCTTTCTCCCCTTCTCGATGACGTCTCGGTGCTTGCGGACGAACAGCCACCCGACGTGGGAGAAGAAGAAGCCCCGGCCGGCGTTGTGGGGGTCGGCGTCCGTCTCTGAGTACTTGTGGTGGACTCGGTGGTCCCTGGACCACTCGAAGATGTCATTCTGCGGGGACAACGAGAGCGGGAGTGAAGAGATGGCCGCCCGGTGCCCTCGGGGAAAGCGTCCCAGCCTCGAGTTCATCCCTGAGGGTGGTCTGGGGCGGTTTTTGTCATAACAAGAGTAAACGTCGCCGAGCAGAGACCTCAGCTTGTGTGCGGGATGTGTCCACGGCAGGAGGCTCAGGCTCGTCGGGTGGACTAGTGGGGACACCTGAAAGAAAGCGCTGGTGGGGGCTCCTGAGTCTCCTAGGAGATCACCTATGTCACGAAAAGAGAGGTCTTGGCTGTCAGAGGCGAGGGGCCACCCTGGGCACGAAAGGGTGCTGGTTCTTCACCCCGATCTCTCTGCCTCCCTCCCCTACTCTGATGGTCTTCACGTCTAACCCTTACAGAGTGCAAGAAGCCACAGCTAAAAAACCCAAAGAGCTACTTCCCCAAACCTCTGCAAAACACCAAGGCACAAATGACATCATTTTAGGACTACGCTAACAGAGTGCAACAGAAACAGCCGGGAGGCTGCTTCGGCTCCTTAGGGCAGCTGGTGTGTTGGCAACACCCACCCAGCGCAGAGGCGGCAGGGCAGCGCCCACCGGAACCCGACACGGGCTCTGGGGCCCAAGGAAGGAGGAGCATCAGAGTCCCGCAGAGTCTGCCAAATCCACAGAGCTGGCGCGGGCCTGGCACACATGGGGGGACACACCCTAGTGAGCCTCTCATGATGGGAGACACAGGGAGGGTGTCAGGGGCTGGAGGTCCTGGGTGAGCCATCGGGTGCAAGAATCGATGGCATTTAGGCTGTTGTAATCAATGAGAGGCCTTATCTATTAGCTGTGGGTCGGCGAAATCTACAGACTTTGAATGTGCACTTTTTAAAAATCTGACAATGCTTTCAAAACTTGGAGAAGACAAATTAGATCGAGAGGTAGTGCTTTTGATAGGAAAATTAATCTGAAAATAAAAATAAATTTACATAGTGCATAAGCCTTTTCTTTTTTATTAACAGGACAATGGTAATAATTTTTTATTCCGTAATATTCAATACTCGGTAATGGTCTCATTAGGAATCTGCCACTTCACAGAAGTTGGCTTCATTCTGCTGATGAGAAGGGAAGGAATTGTTTTATTTTCAAAGTTCCAACAGTTCTTTTAATCCAGAGGGGGTTGATTGAGTTTTTGGTTTCTCTGTCTCTCCCAATACTGCTAGAAGGCTACATTACCTTGTTTATCTCGTAGCACTGTTGAAATTTTTAAAGTTTTGCTTAACCCTTGGGTAATGGCACAGAGAGAGAAGATACAGAAAATCCTTAAGAAATACATGCTCAGTTTTAAATATGAAGAGAGAAAAGGGGTGCCTGGTAGTCTGTGTAAGGCAAAAATTATAGCCTGTCTTACTGTAGTATGAAAGAGGTCTTTAGATTTTGCCAGTGTATTTAAACACAGTCGTTGGAAAGAGTGAACGCATTTTATTATTTATAATCACAGAATTTGGAGCTGGGAAGGAATGTCAAATGTCAATCAAGACTATTGCAGTCCAAGAAATAATTTATTCCTTTTGCATTAGTTTCTCGCTTTGATTGCAGTGCATATCTGAACATGACATAGAAAGAAAGAACACTCTGTCCCTTATTCACATATGGCAAAACGAAGACTTAGAAGACATTTGCTCAAGTTCATCTAATAAGTCAAAAACAGTAATGGAACAAAGATGGCACTGCTTCCGTTCTTGGCTCACATTCCTCTCAACAAGATAGTCCCCTAGTCTCCAAATGTAGGGGCACAGTCTTTTACAGAAAACTATTGTTTTTCTTGTTAAAAGGTTATATTGGCTCTTTAGTTCAACGCCCTACAATTTTATAGAAACCCTTACGTGGAGAGTTCCAAAGAGCAAGAAACATCATTCTCACGAAATTAAGCAAGACACAATAACAACAAAAAGGCATGATGATGAAGACAAGTTGGAACAGAGATATTTATTTTCATTCCTTTTACCTGGATACCTTCCTGACAGAAGCCATTGGATGCAATAGTGGCGTGAAGTAAGGGTTGGGCTACATTCCAAATAATCTAACACACAATGAAGCCAAAAATACTTTTAAGATATATTTCTTTTTATCCTTTGTTATTGTTTTGTTTTTAACTGTAAAGCTGAGTGCGGTGACAAAGCGACTCAAACAACAAGATGTAGGTCAACAACAGGGCAGAAAGAGAACGAGATGCAGAAACTCACCCGAGGGGCTTTTTTCCTACTTGTCTGCATTTGGCTTCTACCTTGGAGTGATGGGGAGCGAGTGGGTGGGCGGGTAGCGGGAGAACCTACCTGTCGACAGCCATCTGGGCTCGATTAAAAGGTATGTGTGCCTGGGGTGTGCTTTGGTGCGGTCCATGTGTGCTTCAGCGACAAGCAAAAGGGAAAGCGAGGACTGGGGAGGAGGGCGAGACGGCGGGGCTGAACCTCAGGAGGAAGGGAGTGCATGGAGCCCCCCGTAGCCCCGACAGCACCCCATCATCTCTCTTCCCCGCAGTGTTTACACAGCACTGACTGCTCTTGTCTAAACCCACGCGCGCCCCTCCATCGTCCTGGCTTCACAGAAAAAAAAGAAAAATCGAGACAGAGGTGATGAACGCCCATCAGCGGAACTGAGCCTTGAGCCTGGGTTTTCTGTCTGCTCGCGTCTTGCATGCAGATTTCGATGGGGGCACGACGCCGAACTCAGCGGCCATTCCTGAAGCCCGAATACTCACACACGGTAACACGTCAATCAACAAATTACTGTATTCAGTGTGCAACTTAGAGTCTACACATAATCTTAGGTTCTGGTAGATGGTAGTTGACACAGGCAATCCCGTTACCTTCAAAAGCGGACATCGCCACCTGTTTATGGATGATTCCTGATGAAGGGTGGCAGCGTTGAAGGCTGCTCCGTTGGTTCTAAGGGCCCCGGGCATGACCGAGGCACGGGCCGGTGGGCCAGCGGGCGAGAAACAGGAGCAGAGCAAAGCAGGGGCGTCCAGCTCGGCTGGTGGGTTTTTATTGTCAGAGGAGCCGTGCCCTGACCCTGCTTTGTAATGTC